ACTCAACCCATCCTCGGGGTACGGCAACCTCTCCAGGTCCATTCCAGGCGGCGGGGGCCGTGTGGTGTCACCAGATCTCAAACCTGAGGAATGGAAAATAACCCTGGTTCTAACATGCACTCCCTCCTGTGAGGATTTCAGCCCGTGTCTACATCCACAGTTGAGTCCTCCTCTGTTGGGGGATCCACATGGGCCAGGCCACGCAGATCACGTCCCCTGCCCACGCTCTCAGGCCTGGCGGAGGTACAGGTGCCCCTGAACTCACGACACATGTGCACACACACTCGAACCACTCCTCTGGACCCAAAGTTTTCCACGCGCATGGCCGCTCAGAGGCACAAAACTCCCCCATGCTCATTCATACCTGTAGCTTTCAGGGAAAGCTGGGAGTATGCTTCAGATGCTGCGACAGGACTGGGAAGAGAGGGCGGGGCCTGGGCATCTTGTTTTGTAAAAGTTCCCCAGGTGATTCCAGGGTGCAGCCCTATCTGAGAACCCTGACGGGCACCCATGGGCCTAGGACCCAGGGAATCTAGGACTGGCAAGGCCTTCCCCAAAATCCATCTCGGGATATAGAAGGAAGCCTTTAGCCAAAGAGGTCAGAGCAGCGTCTCCCTTTGACCTCCCTGCTTCAAAGGGTCAGAGAGGAGCTCCCTGGGCCAGCCCAGCAGGGGAGGTGATGGCTGGGGAAAGGGATGGACAGGGGAGAAGAATCAGCCAGACTAGAAGACAGGTGGCCTCTAAATCAGGAGCACCAGGCCACAAAATACAGTCAGGGCCACTTATGCCCCATCTCCAGCCACTCCACCGCTGGGGATTGAGAGACTCTCAGAAGGATGCTCAAGCTGCATCAGCATCAGCTCCTTTGCACGTCTGCTACCTGTACACACGTTCCCGTTGGGCTCCCTACCGACTGGGCTGGGGAAGCCAGGTGCCAGAATCTGGGTCTTCGTCTCTTTTCTGAAGATGAGGTTCTTGGCTCAGCCAGCAGCCCGCGGGCCCCCATCTCATCTCCTGCGTTTCACTTAGCCAGCGAGGCAGAAACAAGAGAGAGGAGGCAAGGCTGCGGTCCACGGGAGGCGTGCCGGGAAGATGGACGACCCTAGAGCAACCAAAGCCGAGCTCTCTCCAGGCCGGAAAAAAAATAAAGCCGATATGGGTGAGTGACCATGGAGGGAAGAACAAATGTCTCCTTCTCCATTCAAGGTCAAGGCTGCATGAGACATTTTGCTGATTTCATCCTTCCAGCTGGAACAGTGGTTCTCAGATGGGGCTGCACCCTGGGATCTCTTGGGGAGCTTTTACAAAACACAGATGCCCAGGCCCCACCCCCAGAGATGCTATTTTAATTGGTCTGGGGCACAGCCTGGGCTTACGATGGTTTAAAAGCTCCCCGGGTAAATGTAATATACAGCCAAGATAGAGGCCGCTGAGCTGCAAAGAGCCTTGAGAAATCATCTAGGCCAGTGCTTCTCAAACTGTGATATACATTCCAATTGTCCTGTTAAAAGGCACATTTTGATTAGACCCGAGGTGAGGCCCAAGAATCCGAATCTCTAACAAACTCCCAGGCGATGCTGATACTACTGGTCCCAGCCCCACACTTTGAGGAGCAAGGATTTAGGCCAGTGGTTCTTAAAGTGTGGAACCCAAGACCACAACATCAGTGTCACCTGGGAACTTGTTAGAGATGCTTGAGTCTCATCCCAGATCTACTAAATCAGAAACTCGGGGTGGGGCCCAAAGGCATGCTTTTTCTTTTTTAAAATTTATATGTTTGTTTTTATCTCTGGTTGTGCTGGGTCTTCGTTGTTGTGAACAGGCCTTTTCTAGTTGCAGCAAGTGGAGGTCTACTCTCTTGTTGAAGAGCGTGGGCTCTAGGGCACCCAGGTTTCAATATTTGCCGCACACGGGCTCAGTTGCCCCTTGGTATGTGAGATCTTCCTGGACCAGGGATCATACCAGTGTCCCCTGCACTGCAAGGCGAATTCTTAACCACTGGACCACCAGGGAAGCCCTGAAGGCGTGTTTAAGTGTAGAAACCATCAGTCACTGATAGGGGCCAGTCCCGTCTCCAGGACACGCCTGTTCCTGGGTCTACATAATTCCTTCGGAAGAGCCGTCTTGGACACAGCTCCCCTCCTGGTTCAGCCAAGTGAGTGTTTAGGGTTGAGAATGAGTGTGGAGGAATTAATGAGTCCATATGTCAATTTCTGGCAGGGAATAAATGCACTGGGTAAAAGCACAAATGTCTAGTTTTTAGACCCCAGGGGAGAAGGAAAAAAAAAAAACACCTGAAAACACACCAGAGACGGAGAGATGAAATTCAATTCCAAACTAAAAATACACATTATTTATCATTATCTAGAAGGAGATTGGGAGGAGGCCATTAGCAAGTATTTTTCTGGCGGGTGCTGCTCTCAGCAGCAGGAGCAGTGAGCCAGAAGGGCTGTTGTCCTACATTCCCTTTTGTTGCAGTTATGAGGCAACAACTCCGGTGCACAGAAGGCCCCTCGCTGCTTCCTCCCACCAGAAATGATTTCCCATTATCTGGTGCCTAGTGGGGAGGGCATCAGCACTCAGGAAGTGCCAGCTTCCTAAGGGGCAAGGCCATCTCTGTCTCCCGAGAGAAGAACTGAAAACCCTTTGTAAAAACAAACACAAAATCAAAGACAGGCATCCCCCAGGGTGGGTGTCTGGAATTAGGGATGGAGTGCCCTGTTGGTACTTTTCTAAATAAGCCTGGCATCGTGCATGTGCCCAGGCAGCTCCAGGGGCTTGGCCTTGGCAGGAAGGAGGCAGGGTCTCTGGGAGTAACTGGGCCATGACTGCCCACGCCCGTCCCCTTCCTGGGATTCAGGGAAGCCTTGCAGAAGAATGTGGGCAAGTTGCCCTGGAGCCCACGGGGCCAGGAAGATGTGAATCTGATTAACCCTGAAAAGCAGGGGAAGGACCCCAGAGGGGAGGCAGCCAGTTTTATGCACAGAAGAATAAAGCTGAACTGTGGGACTTTCCTGGTGGTCCAGTGGTTAAGACTTTGCCTTCCAATGCAGGGGGTGCGGGTTTGATCCCCAGTCAGGGAGCCAAGCTCCCACATGCCTCACAGCCAAAAAACAGAAAGTAGAAGCAATGTTGTAACTAATTCAATAAAGACTTTTTAAAAATGGTCCACATCAAAAAAAAACTTTAAAAAGTAATAAAGGAAGTCAACCCTGAATATTCATTGGAAGGACTGATGCTGAAGCTGAAGCTCCAATACTTTGGCCACCTGATGCGAAGAGCCAGCTCACTGGAAAAGGCCCTGATGCTGGGAAAGATTGATGGCAGGAGAACGGGACGACAGAGAACAAGATGATTGGATGGCATCACCGACTCAATGGACATGAGTTTGAGCAAACTCTGGGAGATGGTAAAGGACAGAGAAGCCTGGTGTGCTGCGGTCCATGGGGTCACAAAGAGTTGAACAGAACTTAGCAACTGAACAACAACAGCAATAATATTTTTAAAAAATGCTAAACAGTAATAGGGCAAGACTGAGTGATAAAAGGAAGGGACGACAAGGGGCCAAATGACATGGGTGCCCAGCAGTCAACAAAGGCTGCTTCTGCTCCTAGAAAAATCAATATTGAAAAGCAATGCTGTCTGACTCTTTGCTACCCTGTGAAGTGCAGCCCACCAGGCTCCTCTGTCCATAGGGATTCTCCAGGCAAGAAAGAGTGGGTTGCCATGCCCTCTTCCAGGGGATTCTACCAACCCAGGGATCGAACCCAGGGCTCCTGCCTTGCAGGTGGATTCTCTACCGACTGAACCATCAGGGAAGCCTGTAAAGCAAATATCCTCCAAATGGGGGAAAAAAAAAAAAAAAAAACTTAAAAAAATGTATTGACACTAAAAAATATTTTAAAAAAACAAACAAAAAAACAATCAAACCATATCCGCCATCAGGGAAACAGTCCATCTGGGAAAAGAAAGCGCAAATTCTCTGCAGAACCTGAGTAGGAGGCCAGCGATCCGAGTTCCCCGTCCCTGGGCCCACCACTGAGAGGTCAGAGGCAACCGCTTGGCTCCCCAGCAAAGAATAGGAGTGGGTTGCAAGTGGGAACATTTGGTCAGACATGAGCTTGAGTCTGACTGCTCACTCACCACCCCGGGCCTCATCTTCCTCTCAGGGAAATGGGGCGATAACAGGACTTCCACACGGGGTGTGTCCCGGGCACCTCACCCGGGAGGAGGAGCTGAGCCCGCGCGAGCCCCGCCCACCCCCACGGCCCCGCCCTCTCCGGAGCCTCAGCGCAGCCTGTCCTTGCAGACCGGGGAGAGACGTGGTCAAGAGACGGGAGAAGCAAGGCAGGAGGAAGGAGAGGGTGCAGGCAGGAGGGCCGGCCGCAGACAGAGGCCCCGGGAAGGCTGGGCACAGCCCCCGAAGGCCGTGACCCCCGCCCGCCTCGGGCTTGGCCCCAGGTCACTGTGTGCATCCCTCCACCTGCCTTTCCTCCCTGCGGAAGTGTCTGTGCTAAAACTCTCTCCCAGGTCCAGGCAGGAAAACCCTTGGGCGATGAGGAAGTCCAGCCCCGGCTGGGCTGGTGCAGATTCGCTGGGCAGGGAGCTACCTGAAGTGAGAGGACGCTCAGCCTTAAACTCCAGTTCAAGGACTTCCCTGGTGATGCAGAGGTTAAGATCCCAGCTTCCAATGCAGGGGTTACCTCGGTCCCCGATCAGGGAACTAAGATCCCACATGCCTTGAGGCATGGACAAAAAAAATAGAAATAAACAAAAGAACCATAAGTATAATAACTTAACTTTTTAAAATAAATTGTAACATCTTTTTTAAAATTTCCTATCTAGCTGTGCAAACCACTTCCTTGCTTATCCTCGCCTTCACCCAGCATCCTTAAGCACCCACCGAGTGCCGGGCACTGGGGACACACTCTGAGAAGGAGAGAGGATTTCTGTCCCTGCGTGCAGCCTGCTGATCTGCTGTGGATGGGCAGGTTCGCTCTTTAGTAGGGACCAGGAGCATCCCAGCCGTTGAGAGGTGAGGACACCCGGCTCCCGGAGCTGCCACAACCTGGAAGGTTGCTCCCCTCCGAGCCCCCACCGCGCAGGATCTGTTTCTCCTCCGCTTCTTTCTGTGACGTCTGACAGTCTGGCTGTTCCTGGGCCCTGCGGGGTCTCTGCTTTCCTATTGCTGTGTCCATCTATAAACACCATTACGTGAAATAGCCCGAGTGAGTCTCTGGGCCTGACAGGCTCAAGAACCTCTTATGGGCTGCAGGTCAATTCCTTAAAATGCCATTATAAAGACAAAATGAAAACCAGTCAACAAAAACTGGAGAGTTGAAGGCAGCAAGTAAATCCAGCAAATGGACCGTTTGGCATCCTGGCTGGAGAGTGAATTGGATTTCAGACAATTGGGCTGCCCTCTCCCCTCCGGCCCCACCTGAGCCCCCGGGTTGCCCCTGGGATGCCCTGGGCAAAGTCGGGAGCTGGTGCCAGCCCTCTGGAGGCCGTGGGTGTCCTCCTGTCCCAGCATGACCCTGCAGCCCAGTGGCTCCTACCGGGTTCCTAACTGGTTCCCCAGCAACTTCTTCATCCCGGCTGTAGATTACACCCAACGTTACGGTCACGGGAGTCGCTCAGAAGAGAGGCTGGTGCTTCCCAGAGAGGAGAGGAGGAGGAGCCCCCTGAGAGGGAGTCCCCGGGTGGGGGTAGCACCGCCGCTGCCCAGCAACGCCCCTGGGAAAACGCCAGCCCATCACCAGCTCTCCCTTACTGCTGGTGCACACAGGGCCGCCAGGGGTGATGGCTGGAGCTAACAAGCTAAGGTGCACGTCTGATCCAGCCGCATCCAGAGCTCTTTCTACGTGATGACAATCACTGTTCTGTGAATTATGTTGTTCTTTTAAAAGGACACTTGGAGGACTTCCCTGGTGACCCAGTGGTGAGGAAGCTGCCTGCTGGTGCGTGGGACATGGGTTCTGTATCTGGTCCAGGAAGATTCCACGAGCTGCGGGGCAACTAAGCCCAAGTACCGCACTGAGGAGTCCAAGCACCGCATCGGAAGATTCCGCTTGATGCAACAAGGATCTCACATGCCATAACTAAGACCCAAGGCAGCCAAATAAGTCAACCGACAAATAAATCAATATTTAAAATAGCACACTGATACCTACTATTCTTCCTCACTATTAATCCTGGGGCTCCCTAGATGCCAGCCAGTTGGTGTCACCAATAATTGGCAAATATTGTTCAGTTGCTAAGTCATGTCTGAGTCTTTGCGACCCCATGGACAGCAGCACACCAGGCTTCCTTGTCCATCAGCGTCTCCTGGAGCTTGCTCAAACTCATGTCCATTGAGTCGGTGATGCTATCTAACCGTCTCATCCTCTGTCATCCCCTTCTCCTGCCTTCAATCTTTCCCAGGCTCAGGGTCTTTTCCAGTGAGTTGGCTCTTTACATCAGATGGCCAAAGTATTGGAGCTTCAGCTTCAGCATCAGTCCTTCCAATGAATATTCAGGGTTGATTTCCTTGGACACCAGTCATTCACTTCTGCCTTCCTGAGCTCCAACTCTGAAGGGCAGGAGGGACGCAGAGCCCTAGGACGGCCCAGACCTCTGAGAACCAGAAGGTTGACCCCCACCTACCAGTGTCCCGCTTCCACCTCACCATTAGACCTCCTTTTACTGAGGGTGAAGGTAGCTGCCTTGCTGCTGAGTGTAATGGAAATTTTCAGCTCTTCAGATCTTGTTCAGCTTCTCTTAAGAGAGGTGGATGCTGTCAGCTCTCTTGACAGTCTCTCTGTGGTGGTTCATTTCATGTGCCAACTTGATGGGGTGAAGGGGTACCCCAGTAGCTGCTGAAACATTATTTCTGGGTGTGTCTGTGTGGATATTTCTGGAAGAGATTAATGTTTGGTTCAGCAGACTGAGTAAAGCGATCTGCCTTTCCCAGTATGGACAGGTATCATCAAGGCTTTGAGGACCCAAATGGACCAGAGTGAAGGCAGGGTGGGTTCCCTCTCTCTGTTCCGGAGCTGGGCCATCCTTCTTCTCTCCCTCCCCTCCCACCCTGCCCCCTGGCCCCAGCAACCCTGGACATGACAGCTCTCAATTCTTAGACTTTTGATCTGGGACTGACTGAATTATACCAGCCTGCAGATGGCATATCAGGTCATGAAACTTCTCATCTTCCATAACCTCAGAAGCCAGTGCCTACAAATCTCTTCTCTTTTTTTGGCCGCACCACTCAACTTGCAGGTTTCTCTGACAAGGAATCGAACCTGTGCCCCCTGCAGTGGAAATTCAGAGTCTTAACCACTGGACCGCCGCGGAAGTCCTCAAGTCTCCTATCACATATATCTGTGTGTGTCCGGTTCTGTTTCTCCGGAGAGTCCTGAGTAGTACATCTAATACCTTCTCATTTCCTTCATCGTGTCTTCCACGTACTCCTGTTTTATTGCCCCTGTGACTTTTCCTTCCTAGCTGCCTTTAAAAAAAATAAGACTTTATTGAGGTATGATTTAAATATCACAAAATTCACCAAATGACTTGCTTGATCCAGACCTCCCGCCTGAGTTCCAGGGACCTCACTCATCAAATTGGCCCCTCCTCTGCGTTGCCTCCCACAGTGAACAGCATCGTCACTCACCCAGTGCCCCAGCCAGGGTCCTCCGAGCAGTGACAGGCCTGAAATCCAGACCCAGCTCTCGGGCTCCAGGTGGTAAGGCCGCCACCATCACTCTGAGCTGGTTCCTGCATCACCTCCTCCTGGTCTTCCTTCCTGCCGTCCTGGCCACCCCCTACCCCACGTGGCCATCGACAGCATCTAGAACACATGTCTGATCACACCTCCCCCTGCTGAAAATCCTTCAGTGTCCCCACTCATCAGAGGTAAAGCCTGTCCCCTTCTTGGGCTTTCATAAGGCACTGATGTCAGATGCTTTGCTGAGGTCCCTTCAGTTCAGTTCAGTTCAGTCGCTCAATTGTGTCTGACTCTGCAGTCCCAGGGGCTGCAGCACACCAGGCCTCCCTGCCCATCACCAACTCCCAGTGCCTACCCAAACCCATGTCCATTGTGTCGGTGGTGCCATCCAATGATCTCATCCTCCATCGTCCCCTTCTCCTTCTGCCTTCAATCTTTCCCAGCATCAGGGTCTTTTCCAATGACCCTGAGGACCTTGAAATGCAATGAATATGGATGGTTCCGGCCCCTGTCCCAAGCATAGCAGCCCAGACCCTTAGTTAGAAAGGGGAAAACTCAGGAAGGATTCAGAGAAGCTATCAGTTCTCTTTCGTATTATCCCAGTTGTCCCCTGGGGTCTATTTCTAAACTGAATGGGCGGATGAGTAGTTTGGGCCTTGACTCATCCCAGGCTTCAAAGACAAACGGAACAAGCCTCTGGGACCATCATCTCCTGCATCACTTACTGCATCCGCACATTTGGACAGACGGGCATCTCACCATCGCCTCTCCAATGGGTTTAAAAAAAAAAACAGATGATTCCGTCTATTTACAAAATAGGATTGTAGTTTTGCAGAATCCTCCTGGGGATTTCCCCTCCTGGGGAAACGTTCATTTTGTTTCATCCTTATCAGAGCCTTCTGCTCTCCCTGCCTCTGTCCCAGCTAACCTTGTGCAAGCAGGAGCTCTCCTTTCCCAGATCCTGGGGAAGTGACGTCCATGGTCCTCACCCATTCAGACTCCTGGCCAGGAGGCCCTTATCGTTGGTCCAAAAAGTGTCCCTCCCCCCCATCCTCACCCTTATCCCCCCTACCCCAAGACCTACAACTTAGGAAGACTTGATCTCTCTGTCAGTAGGAGAAGGAAGCAAAAAGAAGAAAAGCAAGGGCAAGGGACTCAGTGGTGTTTGGGCTCCCATAATAATAAACTCTCTGGGCCTATTACAGTGTCACTGCAGAATATCTCATCCTGATGCAAAGCCTTCCTTCCCCGCACCAGAGCTGGGGGAAAGCCGTGGTAAACAGGAGTGGGGAGAAATCAATTCCTAATGCACTTTGTTCATTGAATGAGAGAATCTCAGTCCAAGTCTGTCCTTTGCTGTCTCCCATTAACTTTGTCAATTCCTCCCTCCAGCCCCCTCCTGTGAGTGGCTGGCTTTGGCTGGTGAGCTGGGGTCAAGGTCTGGGAGGTGAGAGGAGGAGGCAGACAGCCCTGGGGCTGGGTCCTGACTTTCTAACCCTGCTATGCTGGTGTGGGCAGCTGGAGCTATTTCTGAAACTTCCCTGGGCATCCTGTGTTTTCATTTGCTAAATCTGGCTGCTCTAGGGGTTTGGTGACTTCCCTGAGTGGGGCTGTCACAGCTGGGAGTGGGGCACGGGGTGCTTCAGACCCTCCTAGGTCCCCTGCACAGTGCCAGGGACCAGCCTCAGAGCTCAGGAGCCGGGGAGATGCCAAGCGCCTGAGCCGTGGCCTGGGTGAGCCCCCAAACTGACGGCAAAGGAACCGTCCCTGGTCATGGAGAGATTTGCCATCGGAAGAGCATTCCTCCCTGCGTGGTAGACGTGATTAGCTCCCAGCATGTCTCTCTGGATTTGTTTCAGGGACAACAGGCCCCCATTCCGTCCGTCTCCCCCCTTCTCCCCGCCAGCGGTCCCCCAGAGATTTAGAGGCAGGAGGTGATCTTGCCTCTCACTTCCATTACTTTAGCACCTGCATTACGAAGCCATTATCCCTTGACGAGTTCTTCATTCGACCTCAAGCAGCAAAACCCAAGTTGTTTCAGAATCGGTTTCCGTCTGTGTCTCGGCAGTTCCGACCCTGGACCTGGGAGGTGGGGGTGGGAGCAAGTGGTCTCCCGTTCACTGAGCTCTTTATGGCCCGACTCTGCAGAGAACGGTTGAACGACCTTGGACGAGACCTCGACCTCTCTGAAATTTCTTTCCCTAATCTCTAAAATAAGGTGGTTCAAATAGAGGTTCTCTAAAGCCCCTTACAGGTTTCCCAGGTGGTGCAGTGGTAAAAAAAAAAAAAAAAAAATCCAACTGCCAATGCAGGAGGCATAAGAGATGTGGGCTCAATCCCTGGGTTGGGAAGATCCCCTGGAGGAGGAAATGGCAACCCAGTCTAGTATTCTTGCCTGGGAAATCCCGTGGACAGAGGAGCCTGGTGGGCTACAGTCCATGGTTGCAAAGAGTCAGACACAGTTGAGTGCAGACACACAGACACAGACAAAGTCCC